TTTCTCAATGTGTCCAGCTAAACAGTGTCCGCTCTCTTAAAGACGTATGGTGCAGACAACTAGCAGTAAGCACCGAGGCACAGGCAGGCTCAGACTTCGGCTACGTCTTCGCTGAGAACTTCCTGCAACTTCTGCTTGCACCTCGGTTTTCTCTGATCAGCTGTCTAGGAGCGAGCCGACCTGTGCAATGGGCGTGATTAAAAGGAATGTGAAGATAGGGAGAGCAGCGCGTGTCATTAGCCTTCACACGCACCTAATTTCTGAAAAAATAGTAACAGTGTGAATTTTATTCATTAATGAATAAAGTTATTCTTCCTTCTTACTGACTTCCTTCTTACTGACAAAACGGATAAAAACATTATTCGCCTTACCGTTCGTGATTCACTTTTGTGTTATTGTAAACCTAGTGCGAATAAATCATCTCATGGTGAGTAAGTCAAATAAATCAAAAATAAAATAAAATTGTATATAGCAGTAAAGGTTTTACGCTTGTCAATTGATTTAAGAGAAATCCTTTGAAAGATTCGTGAAAGAATTCACGCGAAAAAGTTCGAAGTTACATTGTTGTTGTATTTAGTCTTGGAACTTGAATAATATTCATTGGAGGGAATTGCAGGTGAGTGAAAGAGATATGTTTGTGAGGCAGAAATGCGGCTCAATGCTGATATCAAAATAATCGGTAAACAAGTTGTTCTTGTACCGTATGAAAAATGTCATGTGAATAAATATCACAAATGGATGGAGGTTAGTATTTTAAGATTTCATGATATCTAATACTTTGTTCGAACATTTATAGGTTGTAAAGCCTCTAATTTCTGAAAACAATGATGAAGGTTTTCTTTGAAAACTGATGGTAAAATTGAATTTTGGACTTTATCAACTATTTTAGGAAATAAAATGTCATTTCATTCATTCACTGCAAACCATGAAAGGTATTTAATTCTCTCGAATAGAAGCTCTTCTCAGAGTAGGAAGCTTCTTTGAAAAAAGTCTCTTCGCGGAAGGGCGATGATAGGAGAACCCTCGTTTGTATCTTATTATGACTAAAGGAAAGGATCATTCGTTTTTTTTTCCAACCTGTTGGTTGAAGAATCTATTTTCAAAACTTTATCTGATGATGAAAAGTTGCAGAATGACGAGTTACGACGACAGACTGCATCCGAGAGATTATCTCTTGAGGAAGAATATGAAATGCAACGAAGTTGGAGAGAAGATGACGACAAATGTACATTCATTATCCTCAGTCAAAGTCTTCTCGACCAGTACAAGGATGAGGTATCAACTGTCTCATGTGCTTAATTTTCTCTTCAGTCTGTTGCTCATACTTTTATTTGTTTTTGGCTTCTGATTCATTTTAATTCATTTCTGTTCCAGATCTTATTAAAATATTTTCGGTATTGACTCGTCAGGTGAACTTGCCATGTGTGCATTACGATCCATCTATAGTTGCAGTTGTTTTGCAGATCAGCTCTATGATAGGCGATGTGAATATTTTTCTGCATGACGGAGTGGGTGAACTGGAAATCATGATTGCTGAAAGCGAATGGCGAGGGCATGGCATTGCGAAGGAATGTGTTGCATTAATGATCCGATACGCGTATGATCATATACACATCAACAAATTCCAGGTGAAAATTTCCGAAGACAACGCAGTAAGTATTGCAATGTTTCAAAAGCTGGGCTTCGAACAGACTGCGTACAGTAAAGTTTTTAAAGAGTATACGTTCGACTTACATCCGTCTAAACTCCTTGATATTATTAGTGACGTTCATTTGAACATTCATCCATATCAGCTATTGACCAACAAAATCTCGCAAGAAAATAGAAACACGAAGGAAATGAACTCTTCGGAAACAAATTATTCAACGAAGTAGTGATTTCGGTTCCGTCTCTCGCTTTGTGTTTGCTTACGAGTATTAGTGGTTTCCTGAATTCAAAGTACTTCACTTGTATTTTTGACTAGATGATTCCAATGCATTAGCTCACTGACCCGGCAAAAGTTTCCATTTTCAAAATATTGACGTTGTTT